AATTCCAGGGGTGCCTGGGTGGCTCAGTTGTTAAGCGTCTGCCTTTGGCTCAGGTCATGATCTCAGGGTCCTAGGCTCCCTGCTCAGTGGGAAGCCTGCTTCTTCTCCCTTTCCCTCTTCCCCTGCTTGTGTACCCTTTCTTGCTGCCTCTCTCTGTCAAAGAAAATAAATAAAATCTTTTTTTAAAAAATGTAAAATTTCCAGTATTCAGTGTGGTGGTGTTGACAGACGGTCATCATTCCATACATTAGATCCCAAGACTCATTCATTTGATGTTTAAAAAAAAAAGTAAAAATCATTCTTGCCTCAAAGGCCATACGAAGCCAGGAGGCAGGCCATACTTGCTGACCTCTGTTCTCCAACTCCAGGACAGACATATGAAGAGTTCAAATCCGTTTGAAGTATTCACCGTGTGACCTGAGGGGAGCTAAAATTCTGACGCCTAGGACTCAGTTTCCTCATCTGCATAATGGAGATACTGTCTGTCTTGACAAGAATTAGAAATAGGACATGGCAGTGCTCAGGGAATGGTAATAATGCAGAGAATGAGACTTCCTTTTGCAGTCAGGGCTGTGCAAGGACAGGAGTGGCTTTCTCTCACCTCTGGCGGGGTGTGGGGGGTCGCTTATCAGTGGCACCAGGGCCTATTTCCAGGGCGCTGAGACAGTTTTCTGTGTAAAATAGTCAAACAGTGAGAGGCTGAGGACACTCCCCTCAGGAGTGTCTGGGGCTTTGGAGTTTGCTGGCCCCACAGAGCTCAAGGAACCCAATTTTAAATGCGGAGTGAAAGTTCCTGCCTTCCCAGGAGGGCAAGATTGCAGAGTCCCCAACATGACCCCTGAGGAGAAGCTGAGGGAACAGGGTCCATCTGCTTACAGACTGGGCTCTGGGGCTAAGGGGGCCTGCACTGCTAATGTTTGGGCCACAGCTGAAGAGTCCTAACCACACCCTGTTAGTGGTTGTTTTCCCTGGAAGTGGCAGGGTGGGGGTGGTGGTGGTGGTGGTGGCCAGAAGTAACCTGCATTGTGGGGGTTGGGGGGGAGAGGTAGCTTCCCGGAGAACGTTCTCCCCCAGAATCACTCTCTGTCCTTGCTGCAGAGCAGTATCCAAAGGCCTGCAGAAATGTTCAGAGCAATCCGTCCTGTGTACCGCCTGTTCCCATCTTCATTTGAAAGTGTATCTAGGGGCGCCTGGGTGGCTCAGTGGGTTAAAGCCTCTGCCTTCGGTTCAGGTCATGATCCCAGGGTCCTGGGATCGAGCCCCGCATCAGGCTATCTGCTCAGCAGGGAGCCTGCTTCACTTCCTCTCTCTGCCTGCCTCTCTGCCTACTTGTGATCTCTGTCTGTCAAATAAATAAATAAAATCTTTAAAAAAAAAGTGTATCTCAATACATAAGACATGGGGGAGGGGGAGGGAGTACAGTGAATATGGGGACAGGTGGCAGCCAGACCGACCCGTGGTGATCACTTGGCTAAGGCATGTAAATGTCAAATCACTATGTTGTACACCTGAGACCAATATAATAATATAGGTCAACTACACCTCTATTTTCAAAAATCCAAATTAAATTTCTTTAAAAAAATTAAGTATCTATTTGCATGAGGGGGGAAAAGTGCCTGGCAAAGCATCAAAATGACAATGTTTAGTTACCTCTCTGTAACAACAGGGAATTTAGGGTTACTTTTTTATTCTGAGAATAAGCATGAATGACATTGCTTTGAAAAATCTACAGACCAAGTGGGTGGACAAGGGAGTAGAGGGGGACAGGAGGTGACCCTTGACACCAACTGAGAAGCCAAGACAAGAACCCGAATCCACCTGGCAGACACCCTCCAAGCTCCCAAGGTCTGGTGGCTTGACTTCCTGCAGCTCAGGATCCTAGACTTGGGAAAGTTCACTCTCTATGCTGTTCATATACCCTATAATCATTTTCTTTATTTTCCTGTTTTGTTTTGTTTTCTAACTTTTTGTTATTACCAGCTGGCCAAAGGGGACTTCAAAGAAAAGGGCAGCCCAAGGAACGAGGGAGGCCTCGCCGGAGCTCCCCCATCCCACCCGGGGGGCTTCACAAGCACTGCCTGCCTCTGTCCCTCTACAGTGTGACTTTAATCACTGGGCAAGTAAAAGCATCTCCTCCCTTTCAAGACACTGGGGACGTTGGAGCATGGACTATGGCTGGGAGGCAGGCAGACCTCTCACCTCATCAGGAAAGACTCAGAGTTCCCAGAGAGCTGAGCTCAGGAGAAGATTCTCTGTGCTTCTCTAATACCCTCTGCTCCGAAATGAATAAACTAAGCTGACTGAACCAGCGATTTGGCTCCCAGATCTGGGGCAGTCTGAAGCCAATCTGAATTTAAATCATGTCCCCACAATGAAACTTTTACTTTCTAGGAAATCAGGGGTGAGGGTGGGGGTGGGGGATAGAGAGATCAAGGAAGGGACCTTGTTCATATGCTCAGCCAAAAGTGCCCGGTGCCAAGCAAAGGTGGCAGCTCTTCGCAGTGGGGACAGAGAATTCAACTGATGTTCTTCTGGTAAATGCCATGGTCCCTGCAGGCCAAGATGAGGCGAGTTGTCATACAGAAGGGATCAGAGATGTCCCATCCCCTGCAGAAGAAAGGACATGGGGACCTCTGGGGACGAGGCAAGGTGGAAGCCACAGGAATCCAGCTGAGAGATGCTCACGGGGTAAGAAATGCTGGTCACTCCCCAAGAGAGGTTTTCCAGGAGACAGAAGACATTTTTCTTGCATCCCCATGAAGGCACAGGCACACATCTTTGAAAGGTAGTACCATTTTATTTAGTGTTATAGAAATTTTAGGTTACTTCTTAAAAACAAAACCAAAGAAGTTAAAAACTTCCAAACTCAAAAGGCAGGAAATCATTTTATAATTCAAAAACGCTGGGCGATCTTTCAGTCGGAGGGAGGGTGGAAGAGGTCAAGTTAGTAGCTCATATAACAGATACTGAGAAACCAGAGTCGAGGTTGGTATGACTACCAGGAGGCCAAGTTCCCTACTGAAGGCAATTAATCTGTCAGCCTTGAGGGATCATTCATTAGTAGTTCTCAAAGAGAAACGAAGACGATCGATTGGGAAAAGGGACTCAGGGAGGGAAGATGCTGCCTAATTGAACATTAAATTGTCTCTGGCCTTCAATTTGGTGTATGGCTGTTATGGGTCCTCCCCTGCTCTGCCCTTCTGAGTTCCCACTGTTAGCAAAGCTGGAAACCACACAGACACACACAGACACACACACACACACACACACACACACACCTATTCATTTGCACACACCTCCCACTCAGGGTCAACGGCTCTTCCGCATGGTCAAGGGCAGGCTTTCTTGTTCCTCCATTCTGATGTGCTAACACACAGGAATAAAACAGAGAGCAGGAAACCTGTCAGAGTCCAAGGAATGAGATGATAGGAAATAGGCAAAGGATTGACAATGTTTTCAGGAGGCTGACCTCCAGCTGAAGTTCACTACGAGATGTTTGGTATTTAACCTGGTGCTTCCCTAAAGAACCGACCGCTCTTTCTGGAGGAAGCTAGGTGAGGCCAGGAAAAGAGCTGCTCCCGCTTCTCCAGAACACAGCCTCCTCCCAGCGTGCTTCCATCAGGCTGGCATTTACAGCAGCTGGAGCCAAGCCCCAACACTCCTCACGTAGGTGGGTACACGCCCTCCGACGCTCCAATTCACCAACCCCTGCTAATGGGTCAGGGAGACATAAACCCTCCCCTAGAATAGAGCCCTCACGGACAGTCATTACCTCATGCCCTCCAGGTTAGCTACTTTGAGAGGTACAGGACTGCTATGAATTGGATTTCTTTTACCCCAGCACTGGTAGAAGCCAGACACCCTTGAAGTAAATTATCCTTCATTCTCCAGAGTCCCCAAGTGGCATTTCAGAACACAGGAATTCACTCTTCTACCCAGACATCCCTCTCAAATACTGACCAAGTTACACACCCGAGGTCCGAGCAGCAGGTAGTATGTCCAGACCAAGCTCCTTTCGTGAACAGTGCAGGTCTCCACACCAGTTCCTCTAAGGAGAAATCCTTCGGAGCACCCCTGCCCCCAGTGCCCTTGGGTTATCACAGTCAAAATACATTTCTAAGTAAAACAAAACAAAACAAAACAAAAACAACCCATTGTGGAACGAATATATACACGTACGTTTTCAGAGTGGAGGCGAATATACAATTGTCTTTCCAGGCACGTAAATAACTCTCATAGCACTACAAAAATACAAGTCATCTGGGAAGTTTACAGCTTCCACACTACTGTAAGAGCATTAAATAAAGCAGCTATAGATAATCAAAAGCTGATTCATCAAGTTACAGTATCACCCTTCAGAGCGAAGTGCTCTGATGTAACTAACATTGCCGCTAACATAAGATCCCGAAAAGGGCTCTGCTGCCAACTGTCTTGCCTCTTGCCTCCATAGAACAAGAACAGACAGAGAAGAGAGCCCCGAGCTAATAACTGTTGTTGCCTCAAACCCTGCCCTCTGCACTGGCCTGTGATCTCCCGCCCCAGAGATAGGTCAAGGTTAGGTAAGATTCTGTCACAACCAGGAGGAAAAAAAATGAGCAACACAGAAACATTCTAATTCCAGTATTAGCTTCTGAACAATGAAACGACCTGAGGAGTCTGACTGGGGCTATCATTTCAGAAACATCCTAGCTTCAGAAAAATAGGTGTGCTCTTCTAGCTTTAAAAATACAGCCAACCAAACTAAGTGTTACCTTCTTGCTCTTCATAACTTTATATCAAGGGTTGGGGGTGGAGTAGGGGATCGCCAGGAAGTGTTGTGAGATCAGGGAGCCAAGCAAAGGCACTGGGGCAACAGGCCACAGGAGTCCTACTGAGATCATTCCCTACCTGGTGGAATCAAGTTAGTCAATGCTTTGGCCACCTGATCCCTTCTCAAGGCACTGATGAGGCCACTCCAGCCAGCAGGAGCCCGGCTACGGTGAGACTTTGACCAACCCCCGTTAAACGAGTGTGAAGTGACAAACTCCCTGTTCTGCCTCTCCCGTCTTCACAGGTGGGCCCTATGCACTGATCAGGAGCATACCGTAAGGCTGAAGAGTTGTGGCATTTAGAAAAGGCAGCTTGCTCCAAAATCTAGCAAGGCACACTCACAAGGCTTTCGTTCACCTCCCCCGCTTCGGTCAAATCAGTAAGACCAAGTCCAAGAAGCCCGGGAGGTTTACACGGTATCAAAACTTAGCACCTCCAGCCAAACGCCACCCTGAGCTACTCTCAAAAGCCAAGCAAGCACGTGCCTGGTCCTTCTCATTTCACCCCACACTTCACTGACGGGGCAAGGTGGCAGCGGGGGGTATGTATTTTTAAATGTCAATATCGAAGAGAGAAAATCCCAGTGTTAGATGCATGAATCACCCAGCGCCACCCGAAGCTCTGGGCCAGGAGCAGATCTTAGGACCACGTCTCCGGTCACAGCATAAAATATTTACAAGATAGTTAAAGGCACAGTGGCATTTAAAAATAAAACCCTGGGAATGTACAGTAGAAGATTCATTGTAATAATTAACCTGGCTTCAGTTGCTGGAACTGACTCTTGCCAGATAACAGGCAAGGGAGGCGGCTGGTGACTTCGAGCCTGTGTGCTGGTTATCAGGCCTACGGGGTCCTTGACCTCAGGAGCCGGTGGAAACGAACTCACAGAACAGTCTGGGTCTCCTAGGCTGACGAGTCACATCTTTCCTGCCTTTTTGCCAACCTGAGCCGGGACGCGGAGGATGTTGGGGGTTTCCTCCATGACCCTGACGAGCAGGTTGTCAATGTAGTCTTCCAGCTCTCGGACCTGAAACTCCTTCTTGCTTATCGTCTCCTTCTGCTTGAGGACCAACTGGATCAGCTCATCATGGGTCAGCTGTGCGTACGCAAAGGCGGGGTCCGAGGGGTTGTATTTCTTCAGAAGGGGAGAGAATGGGGAGAAAAAGTGGTAAAGTCAGCAAAGAAGACAAATATCGACAAGAAATCTAAAAGAGGAACATGTTATTAGCAATCAGAGTCTCCCGGGAATGTGTTTTCAGTTCAGGTGGGAAACCGGGTCATTGACAAAGTTTTCTGTAAAGGACCAGAGAGTAAATATTTGAGGCTCTGCCGGCCACATACGGCCCATGTCGACCATTCTTCTGTTGTTTCATTTGTTATTTCTGTTTTATGACTTTATAAAAATGTACAAACCGCACTTGGCTCCTAGGCTACAAACCCCTGGGTTAGACTCTGGATTTGAGGTTTCAGGAAATGTAACAACTGGAGGTCTCTGAACACTCTGAGCGGGCACAGCGAATTATGACGGGCTGAGAGACCCAAGCTAAGCTGGCCCATGAGAAAACCCTAGTGACAGAAGGTGCGGGAGATGACGCTACCCATCCCCTCCCCAGGCAGCCGCTCATCCCGGACGGCCTGCTGCTTCCTCCGTGACACTCAGGAGGAGTCCAAGGAACGCTGAGGCACTGGCCACTCAGAGACCCCACCTGAAGTCACATCATCCTCAAGACATACGCAGAATCAGAGCTAAGACCCACGACAGCGCATGGTGCAGTCAGCATACTCAGACATCAGGGCTCACCCTCGGGCACTCGGTGGCCACAGCCAGGGCTTAGCAGCCGCGCTCTTGCCAACAGCAGGAGCCCTAAGGAATGACTCCATCAGCATTTATAATCCGGGGTGACTGGAGTCCAGCTGCAAAGTGACCAGGCCCAAACCGTGAGGAAACCAAGATAAGGATTAAATGGAAAAGTACCATGTTGTACGAGCCTCCAGCTGGAGAAGCTAAGTCGAGAGCGGAATCATCACTCACTCTTTTGACAACATGATAGAAGGCCCTGCTTAGTATAGTGGCGCATCGGCTGCCTACACCCTAGCCAGATATCAGAGAGAAACCCCATCGCTCTTATCCTGGCTCGGAAGGAAAGCACAGTGCTCACAGCCCCGGTTTAGAAGCACACACCGACATCTCCATGCACACAGCAGGTGTGCACCTAACCCAGACTGCACAGAAACAGGCGAGAGGTTGGACTACTTTTTTGGGAAACCACTTCTCCCTTAATCTTTTTATTGTTTTAGTTTCTTAACTTGTTGAAGGTACACATTCCTCTGGACCTCAATCATCCCATTAGTAATTCTAAAACCATCTTCAACCAGAAAGTTGAGCGTCTGGAAAAGGACGCTAGGGACAGGTTGTACAGGGTGAATGCACTTAACATTACTGATCTGTACACTTAAAAATGCTTACGGTTCCTCGTGTACTGTTGCTGGGAAGGCGAGCTGGTGCAGCCACTGTGGAAAGCAGTATGGAGGTTCCTCAAAAAAATTAAAAACAGAATTGAGGGCGCCTGGGTGACTCAGTCAGTTAAGCATCTGCCTTCAGCTCAGGTCATGATCAGGGTCCTGGGATCCAGTCCCACATCGGGCTCTCTGCTCAGCAGGGAGTCTTCTTCTCCCTCAGCCCCTCACCCTGCTCATGCTCTCTCACTCTCTCTCTTTCAAATAAAAAAATAAAAATAAAAAAAATTTAAAAAAAACAGAATTGATCCAGTAATCCTGCTACTAGGTATTTACCCAAAGAATACAAAGAAACTAATTCAAAAAGACACATGCACCCCCTATGTTTGTTGTAGTATTATTTACAAGAGCCAAACTATGGAAGCAGCCCAGGTGTCCCTTGACTGATGAATGGATAAAGAAGTGGTAAACACACACACACACACACACACACACACACACACACACACACAGGAATATTACTCAGCCATTAAAAAAAAAAAAAGACATCTCGCTGTTTGCAACGATGTGGATGGAGCCAGAGAGTATGATGCTGAGCCAAATAAGTCAGTCAAAGACAAGTACCATATGCTTTTACTCATATGTGGAATTTAAGAAACAAACCAAATAAACAAAGAAAAAAGACAAACCAAGAAACAGACTCTTAACTGTAGGAAACACACAGATGGTTACCACAGGGGAGGTGGGTGGGGGATGCATGGAATAGGTGAAGGGGCAAAGAACATACTTATGATGAACAGAGTAACGTATATAAAATTGCTGAATCACTAAATCGTACACCTGAAACATATTAACACTATATGTTGTCTATGCTTGAATTGAAAAACTTTTTTTTAAATTTTGGAATGCTGCAGATGATAAAAGTTTTATGTGATGTTTATTTGACCCCAATTTTTTAAAAAGGAGGTGCATGTCTGTTGATGGAGTCTATCAAGGAAAAAGTACTCTTCGGGAACAATAGCCCAAGAATAATGTCCTCGAGCGTTTTTAGATTGTATCTCTATCATACAAGGATTTTATTTACTGAAAATTGAAATTGAAATTGAAATTGAAAATTGTGGAGCACATAAGGTACGGTGCAAGGCAGTTTGTGAGATCGAGAGATGAAGAAGCTGTCGGCTGGAGACAGGAGCAGCAGGGGCTCCTCGAGAGTGGAGACCAGGTCCTTACAGCGCCTCACACACAAGACTCCCCCTCTTAGGGGCGTGGGAGTCCAGAGAGCTGGACAGCCAGGAGCCCTCTGCTACACAGGGGACTGGGACAGACTGCAAAGATGGGCAGTGATACCACAACTAGACTTTGAAGACGAGTTAAAATTAATTTTCCCCCGCGGCGCCTGGGTGGCTTAGTTGGTGAGGCATCTGCCTTTGGCTCAGGTAATGATCCTGGGGTCCTGGGACTGAGGCCCATGTCGGGCTCTCTGCTCAGTGGGGAGTCTGCTTCTCCCTCTCCCTCTGTGCTCTCTCGCTCTCTCTCAAGCAAATAAATAAAATCTTTAAAAAATTAATTTTCCCCCAAAATAACAGAATTGTTTTCACTATAAGGGGAATAGTTCCTCATAATGGAAAATCTCAAATGCAGAAGAGGGAAAAAAATTATTACCTAGAGCTCCAACACATAACATTTGGGTCTCTTTCTTCTTTCTTTCTCTTTCTTTCTTTCTTTCTTTCTTTCTTTTTTTAAGATTTTATTTATTTATTTGACAGAGAACACAAGTAGGCAGAGAGGCAGGTGGGGCAGGGGGGGAAGCAGGCTCCTTGCTGAGCAGAGAGCCTGACGTGGGACTCGATTCCAGGACCCTGGGATCATGACCTGAGCTGAAAGCAGAGGTTTTAACCCACTGAGCCACCCAGGTGCCCCGGGTCTCTTATTTCTTCCTTGGTTTCTTTATGGTATGTTTTACAACTTCAAGCATCATGCAGAATATGGTTTTCAAGCATTTTAAAATTATTACTTTCTGAGCATTTCCCCATCACTAAATTTTAACAAAAATCTTTTTTTTTAAGACTATTTACTTATTTCACAGAAAGAGGGAACACAAGCAGGGAGAGTGGGAGAGGGAGAAGCAGGCTTCCTGTCGAGCAGGGAGTCTGATGCAGGGCTCAATCCCAGGAACCTGGGATCATGACCTGAGCCGAAGGCAGACACTTAATGGCTGAGCCACCCAGACACCGCCTATTTGTTTTTTGGTTGGTTTTTGTTTGTTTTTTTAGCAGAAATCATTTTTAATGGATGCTTGAAATTTCATTATATTTTACCCATCTCCTTTGTTAGATATTTAGGTTTTTTCAGTTTTCACAATTATATATAACATTTTTATTAAGATGCATGAGCATAAATCTTGGATCACATCTCTAAAATAGTTCCTTAGGATAAATGCGTGGGGTTGAAAAGGGATGTACCCTTCATACCTTGCAAACTATGAAACAGCTATTCAATTTGGATTTCATAATCCAAAGAGGAAAGTATGTGAGGCTTTGAAATCATTAGGCAATCCTACACATGTGATGACTTAAAAATTATAAAACAATCCAGCATTACAGAAAGTGAACAACAGCCATGGCGAGGAAGAGGTACAAGGAAAATAACCATTAATTCAAGAAAAAACAGTGCCCATTGTCACATATTTCCTTCCAGGATTTTCATATTGGATGTTCCCACCATAGTTGCAATAATAATGACGTATATTCAAATCCGTGTCTCACTGTTTCCGTATTAACAGGACAGATGATTTTTGGATCCAGTTGGCTGTATTATTTTTAAATGGAAGTATTAAAGCCACCTGGGTAAATAATACACTCCCTTAAGTTTCAAATAATCTAAAAGCAATGGAGGCCCTGAAACAGCAACCAAAAAACAAACAAACAAAAAAACAATAAAAAAAAAACCCCCACCCAAACAAAAACCAAAACCCATTATGGTAATGATTCAGCTAGCTTTTCATAACTTCAGCCAGGCAGTCTCTTTCCCTAACCTCTCTCGCACTCTGCCACATTCCAAAGAGTAGTTACTTTTGTAAATATTATTTACGGCTTAGTACAAGGCACCTGTTATATGGGGGGCCAACAAGAGTCTCTAAGAAACTCTCCCTCTTTGCTCAAGAGTATTTATTAGGTATGGTCCATGGCCAAGTGCTTTGTAGCAGGCAGCCAGAGGGGGCAGTGGCCGGGCTTACAAATTATGAGCAAAATAACCAGCAGTTGCCTTTGTTTTAAGGCAAGTTATTCCCTCAGTCAGGGCCAGGAGATAAGCCCCTGATTAAATGAGCTTTGAAGAATAAATAAAATGGGAGCCAAGGGTCTTGCTCACTTCCCGAGAGCTGGCTGTTTGTTTCTCTTTGGAGCCCAGCTGCATTCCACAGTACAAGGAAGAGGGGATGGGAGGCTGCTCCATGACCCTAGCTTTCATTACTGTCCCTTTTATGCTGTTCTTTTGCCTGGTTTCCTGATAAATATCGTTAAACCCCAGGAAGGTATGTGCTGCCTCTTCCCCACACCCTCAGAGGCCCACCAAGCTGAGCTGGGCAAGTTATGGAACATTTCTAGGTAAGGGCTAATTAAGACACAGCAGGCACATCTGAAAATGATGCTCACTTACCACTGGCCCCAGCACCACACAGTACAAGGGAAGAGAAGGCAAAGCGGCTAGTAGATGCGAACTTGTTCGCAGTAACCATCTGTGGCCACTGCTCAGCCTCTTTCCCTGAACCTCAGGTCCAGCTTTCAGGAAACCTTTTGCCCAGCTCCTGATGGCAGAGATGCAATGGAGCCCAGGTGATAACAAACAAACCAGTACTTTAAAAACCCTTGCAGGGAAGGTGCCTGGGTGGCTCAGTAGGTTAAGCGTCTGCCTTGAGCTCGGGTCATGATCCTGGGATCCGGTCCCTCACTGGGCTCCCTGATGAGCAGGAAGTCTGCTTCTCCCCCTCCTCCCTGCTCATGCTCTCTCTCCCACTCTCTCTCTCTCTCTCTCTCAAATAAATAAATAAATACTATCTTAAAATAAAATAAAATAAAAATGCCTACAGGAGTAAAAGAGAAGTGAGCAAGAAATTTTTATTCTAAAACCACAAAGACTACTTGATGTCTTATAGTGCACTGGACTGTAAAATGTCTCATTGAATGAAGCATCTAGATGCCCTGGACTAAAATAGAAATAAAGTTTATTTCTACTGACAGTGGTCCCCAGTAGTCAGTCAGGAAATTCCTCTCTACATATTTGAAACTCAACACAGCCTTGCCTACCAGTCCCTCTGTAAATCATTCTCCCTAGCCCACGTGATAATGAGTCAAAGACCAGAGGTTTGCCAGGAGGCAGTGTTCTAGATTCTCCTGATTTTAGAACCAGAAAGGGCAGGATGGAGATGCTCCAAAGCAGAGATCATTTGAGGGGCTGGTTTGGTTTGGCTGGTGGGCAGGAGTTTTGTTTTGTTTTCTTTTCTTTTCTTTTTAAGTTAGCCTAAGCTTTTGAAGAGAAGAGATCCTCTAATCAAGAAATACTCTTCCTGGAAATTTAGCTTAGGAAGGGGAAAAGTTCTATGCAAGAAATTGTTGACTGTAGCATTACTCATATTGAAAAACAGAAAATAACCCAAATATCCAATAATAAGGAAATGGTTAAGTAAATATGAGTATAACCATGTCAAAGAATAATTACATAGCAACAAGCAAAAAATGCTTATGATCTACTAATAAATGAAAAACAGACTGGAACAGTGTTTCCAATGAGGGCGATGGAGCTGGAAAACTACCATTTCGCCACTGCCATATTCACTGATGGATACGAAAGACTAGGAACAAAAGGGCGGTGAGGAACAGAATGCTTACATGGCCTGACATTAACTCCCCACAAACTGTATTGTATTGTAAAGGGGGAAACAGCATTGATTGTAAAGGGGGAAACAGGAATTTTATACTACAGAACCTCATGGGCACCGCCTGAAGTCAGTCATCAGAGTTAATGCTCCCACTACCGTGACAAGAGGATATAATGTGCCTCCTTCTACTATGCACCGAGAAGGACGCATGATTTGCACGGTTAATTCCTGCCAGGAATGCATGACCTCAACCAAACCAGGAGGAGAGAGCAGACAAATCCAAACAGAGGAAAATTTCTACAAAACAACTGATCTAAAGTCTTCGAGAATGTCAAGGTCTTGAGAGACGTCAAGAAGGCTGGGGAACGATTCCAGGATAAAGGAGCCTAGGGAGACATGGCAACAAAACAGCGGGAGATTCCAGATTGGATCCTGGAATGGAAAGAGAAACAGGAAAACTCACAAGACAACGGGTGAAGCTCAAGCATGGGCTACAGATGAGAAAAGAGGAGTACAAAGGACTTCAAATGTCTTGATCTTGATTAAATGTCCTTATTCTTGGGAATTACATGCTGAAGTATTTAGTGGTAAATGGGGCATGAGGTGGGCAACTTACCCTCCAATGGCTCAGACAAAAAAAAAAAAAAAAGAAGTATGTCTATACAAAGAGAGAACAGACAGGGACGGGGAGAGAGAGGGTGAAAACGATAAAGCAAATGTGGTAAAATGTCAACGACTGATGAACTGGGATGAAAGGTTAATAGCAGTCCTTTGTACTATACTCACAACTTTTTTTTAAAGTTTGCAATGATTAACAGAATAAAGTTTCAAAAAAGTGTATCTAGGCAATGATGACAAGCACAAGAATTTTACATTTTTGCCAAAAGATAAAAAAGGATACATGGGCAAATGAAAACATCTGATTAGAATGGACCAGCCAGAAAATGGACATTTTATTCTCACTAAAAAGTGGCCCCAGTGTCAGTCTTGTTGCTGGAGACCCAAGCAATTCGACAATGACTAACTCTAAGGGGAGCAGTAATAGTCCCCTGGGAAGTGTAGGGGCTTCCAAAGATTATACGAAGACATAGACGTACGTACGGTTAAGTCGTTCCTGGCCCTACCTGCTGCCCAGGAGGGTCTACATAATGGTGACTCTTGAAACGGGTTTTTTATAGACCCCTAACTAGCACACCTACTTCTTGGAGGAGACATACCTTCATCGCAGTTTCACTGATCAAGTTCTCGCTGATGATGGTGGCGGTGCCCAAGCTGGAGCCGGCAATCTTGGTGGCTGTTGTGTTCATTGGCTTCACAGGGTGAAGTCTAAAGAGAAGGGGAAAGGATCCTTAGACCTTCGGTAGTGACAAAACCGAGACACCGTCCACCTCACGGACGGCAGCCGGTGAGACAGACAAGAGGGCAGAGTGGTGATGCGCTCTCCGTACGTCCAGTCCGGCATATGCCGGAGTCCCTGCGGAAATGAGGGCGGTCAGCACGAGGCAGCCACGTGCAGGCCCACCATGCACACTGGAAAGTCAGGTGTCCTGACGTTCTCACCATACCCTTGGTCTCATTATCAACGTCAGAAGAACACTAAAGCCAGCCTCTTATTCTTGAGGCGGCTAAAGCCTAGGACCCACACCAGTGCGAGGGGTCCTACAGAGCCTCCTGTTCCTCAACAGTAAAGAAAGTGCCAGGAACAAACATGCCAGCTTCACCTCAAAGCAAGCTCTCAACACTGCTCCGTTCTACCACTCCACCTCAGCTGGTTTCTGATGCTGGGAAGATATGGGAAGACGCAGTTTCAGAGCCCCAGATCTGTGCAGAACAATTCCTAAACCATCTGTGAAGACTGTCCCAGTGTTCTCCCTACAAATGCAGGGGTGTCCTGAGGAGGAATTCCCACCCTGGGAGTTGGGGTTGGTGGGGGGGGGGAGACCCTTTGCAAACAGGCCCTACCAGCAAACTGCGTGGCATATGCCATAGGATTAGCCGTGCACTTAGAAAGCCATCCACCTCAGCAGGCAAAAGGCAAAGGGTCGGGTTATGGGTGGGCCTCACTCCCGTGGACAAAACGACCTTCCCCGACTCTCACCTGTGCTTGGCTGACCCCGTTCCCGAGCTCGGCTGAGCTGAGATAGGAAGTGTCTCTGAGGGTGAGACCCAGGCCTGAAGAAGCGGCTTCCTCTTGCCAGAACTTTCCACTTTACCAGAGGGACCCTCTGCTGTGGCCTTTTTTTGAGATTCTGCTGTACTGGTGTGGTGAGTGTCAGCGTGTGGGTAGCCAGGGAAAGAGCGTGTAACAGGAAAGTTCTCAGAAAAGGAGGGACTGGCTACAGGAGAATCCAGGGCTGGATCAGGAGGCGGGCTTGGCCTCCCATTTCCCATCAGCTTTTCCCTCTCGCCGCCGCCAGGACGTGGCAGCTGTTCATCCGACCATGAGCTCTTGCCAAGATCTGGCTTATGAATTCCTGAAGCGGCCATTGGCTCTGGAGAGGCTGCCGCGGATGTTTTGGGTGCTTTTGACCCGGGGTCATGTGGACCCTCTGCAGGCGCCGCCCAGCCATCTGCCTCGCCCCTCGGCCCCTTTTCCATCTCAGGACGGGCAGGGGACAGGCTCAAGGAGGAAGGTCCTCCTTCTGGGGCTGCCACCTGGGCTGTCTCTCCATTGTCTTCAACCTGATCCACTCTCTCATCATCTGATGCCACTTCAGGAATGGAAGGAAGGGTTAAGCCCAGATCAGCCACGACTGGAGAGTTAACCCCTGGGGTAGAGTGAAGGCCACTCAGGGGCTCGGACAATAAACCTTCGTGATCACTGGCTTTGCTCTGATTTGGGGCCATGAGTGTATCTTCTGGCTCAATCCTCAAGAGCGGAATGTCTTTCTCTGAGCCTGCTTCACTCATGGGGGCTTCTGAGCCCTTCTCCTCGCAAGATGGGCCGGGAAGGGGGCCTGCCATGGAAGCTGCCGCACCACACTGCGCTGCTGGGGACACAGCTTCCCTCTCTGCGGCCTCAGCAGACTCCCCGTCTGACGCATTTCCAGCGGCGGCTCCCTCGTGTGTCAGCTCCTGGGGATGCCTTCTGTCCTCTTCCACTGACCGGGCGGCCTGCTCTACCTCCTCTTGTGTAAAGAGCTGCTCAGAAAATGACACGTGCTTCCTGATTTTCTTTCGGCTCTCACCCACATTCTCTTCGTGTCTCCGCATCACGGACCCCAGAGGGGGAGCAGATTCTCCCATCTGAAAAGGGGGCACCGCTTCCGTCATTGCAGAAGTCATGCTGTCTTCCTGAAGGCTGGTCTCCCCAAAGGACACAGACGGACTCTCTGAGTCTGTGCTTGCCCTCATCAGATGCTTCCCCACTGGGGTTTCAATCTGGCCACTTTGGAGTGAAAGGCTGAATGTTACTTCTTGGGCCTTTTGGGATGAAGGGACAGAGTCTCGTTCTGAGGCAGGAAACCCCAGAATTTCTTCCTGGTGCCCCATTTCAGACTGCTTCACAAGAGACTTTTCTGAGTCGTTACCAACAGTGCTGTCTGGGCCTATCTCACTGGTCTTCCTCATGGGAGAATCTTCCGTCCCTTTACATGCTGGAGTGGGTAGCTTTCTGGAAAGTGACCCCGAGACACCAGAAATGGTCTTTGGAACTTGTATTAAACTCTCCCTTGGCAATTCTGCCTTAAGGGGCAAAGATGGTTCTTCCGGACTGGCCTGGCCCTTGTCTGTGGAAGGCCAGTTCTCAACCGGCGTGGATGTGGAAATGGGAGCCACTATGGGAGATGAGAAAGAGAAGACAGAGGGAGATTCAGAGGACGGTGTCTCTGCACCATGCCCCAATTTAGAAGGGACAGGTGTCTGGCCAGAACTGGAAAGAAGAGCAGAAAAGAAGACAGGAGAGTCAGGGGAAGAAGAAAGCCTGGTTGTGGGTTGAGCCTCTGGAGACACGTCCAGTCTGCAAAAAGGACAAAATAAAATCTGCATGTCAGTTGCAGATGCATCGTGAGAGGCAAGAAACACAAATAAAGTTGTTCCAAAGGGGCAAACACTTTTATGGGGGGGGGGGCAGTATCTTAAGAAGTTAAAGAAGAAACATCAATTACTTAAGGTAGGAAAGGGACACTTTTATCACCACACATCTGCCAGACAAACGGCTTGTTGCAACAGAAACAGAAAGCCCCAGGTAAAGCAACAGTCCACAGCTGCTTTTGGTGATAAACAAAAAGCATCTACAAAGTTCGAAGCAGTAAAAGATGCCCCTCGGGGCAATGGGCACCAATTCTGAAGAGGAACAGTCTGCGTGCGTGTGTGTGTGTGTGTGTGTGTGTGTGAAATCAGAGTACATAGAATCTCAAAAAAAGTCTCTCCCACCCAAGACCACAGAAATATTGTTAGTGTGACTGTGAGTCAGGCTGAAAGCAGAAAGCCCCCAGTGTTCACTCAGGCTCTCACAACAAGATGTACAATGGCCACGCAGAGAACCAGCACGCTCGGGAGCGGACCAAGGGGCCCCCGTGCCAGCACACCAATGCCAAATTGCAAGGAGGAAAGATATCTGCCTCGAAGGGAAATCCGTGATGAGGACTCTAGAAAATCACATGTTCTGCACACACCACAACCAGAATCTGGTATGCCCTGCTTGGAATGCTCGGGAGTTTGCTACAAACCAGGGCGTTCCATGGGGGCTGATCATCCTACCGACAGGGGGCAGACTGTACCTGTTGGCAGCGGGGTGGGACAGGGGCCCATCGCTGCGATCTGTGCAGGGCGGGCCAGCCAACGGGCTGGTAGAAATAACTCAGACCATTGAATGCTTGTCATACACAGGTACCACCCTGGATCCCCAGGCAAGGGCTGCTCCAGCAGCAGACCTTTCTGATCGCCACGCACAGCCCCGCATGAGGAGGGCTGAGACTCACCGAGGCTTGACGGCTTTGGTCTGCGGAGCCCGTGCAGAGCCCACGGGTGGTGCAGCTTCCGACTTGGGCTCTCGGTCGGCTTCCGGTTCTGTGACCTGCACTTCCTCAAAGGGATTCAGGGATTTACCCCGTCCAGAGACGACAGCCAGAGTGTCCTTCTCAGTTCTCTTCGGTAAGCCTTCGACAGGCCCCGGCCGGTCATCCCTTGGTCGGACCTCCGGCAGCGGCGCGCCTTCCTTCTCCTTCCCCAGGACAGTAGGCGGACTTCCGCCCTCACTGCCCTTTGCCACGTCCTTCTTTCCGGTCACCAGAGAAAGCAACGAGGACTTCTTGTTCTCCTGCTTCTTGCTCTCTTTGGTTTCTTTTGTGGCTTCTAAGCTCACGGGAGCCGCGCTCTCCCGAATATCCCCACTGCCCTGCGGCCGGTAGGACGGCAGAGACATGGTTTTCAGAGAGTCCTTGGTGGAAGACTCAGAGAACCACCGGTCGGAAGACACCGCCCCTCCATCCCCAGGCTCCTTCCAAGACCGAGGAGCCAGGTTCTCAGTGGAGGAGAACAAATGCTTCTTCCTGAAGCCCTGGGGGGACGGGGAGGAGGAGGGGGTGCTGTCCTTGGTCTCGCTCTTGGCTTCCGGCTGCTCCATGTAAACATGGTTCCCGTTGATACAGACATTAGAACGAGAAAGGATGTCATTCTTAGACCGAAGGCCGCCGAGAAAGGAGAGTCCTTCCTTCTTGGGAAGGCTGAAATTGATCTGGTTCAGCTGCTTAGCATCCGCACTGCCTGTTCTCTTGTGAGACATGACTGTGGGAAGAAAAACAAAGATTAAAAGGAAACAAGAAGTTAAACGACTGGTTCACAATCACAAGGGGGTGCCCATCTCTCGTGTCTGAATGCATTTCTGGTTCTCAGCATGGGAATGTGTTCCTGGCATCTAACAGGGGGAGGCCAGGTATAGTGCTAGAGATCCTATGAGGCATGGGGCAGCCCCTACAAATGAGGAATTATCTGGCCCCAGCTACCAACAGTGCAGAGCGGAGGTTGAGAAACCCTGCATTAAACCAATGAGAAGGGCAGGATCTGGCCAACAGTAAGGTTTGGTCATTGAAACTGAAGTTCAAATCCACAGTTAATTCACAGATAAAGGAACTAGATTCCTCAGCTTTCACTAAGGATAATTCCCATGAGGGTTTAACACATTAATAGGATCTCAATAAATACCTGATGAGTTAATAAAATGTCAGAATTACTCTAAGGTTCTATGATTTTACCCTTAATTTAAAAAAAGAAAAGAAAGAAAAGAAAAGGCCTGGATACATTCATTCTGTTAACTCCAAAAGCTTTTTAAATCTACATCAGTTACAGAGATAAAACATTCTCTTTTTGGGGCGCCTGGGTGGCTCAGTGGGTTAAAGCCTCTGCCTTTAGCTCGGGTCATGATCTCAGGGTCCTGGGGTCGAGCCCTGCATCAGGCTCTCTGCTCAGCAGGGAGCCTGCTTCCCCTCTGCTCTCTCTCTGCCTGCCTCTCTGCCTACCTGTGATATGTCTGTCAAATAAATAAATAAAATCTTTAAAAAAAATTCTTTTTTTAGTCTTTTTTTTAAAATTTTACTTATTTATTTGAGAGAGAGGGAGAGCACAAGCATGGGGAGCGGCAGAGGGAGAAGGAGAAGCAGACTCCCCAATGAGCAGGGAACCCGAGGTGGGTCCCAGGATCCTGGCATCATGACCTGAGCCAAAGGCAGAGGCTTAACCGACTGAGCCACCCAGGAGCCTGAGCCAGGCATTTTAGAAAAGGAATTTGTACATTCTTAAGAACCAGAGGGCTTAAAAAGAGAAGCCTTTCTGACCAGGACTAACCACCATCATGGCTGTCATCACCACCATCATGACCATCATGACCACCATCATCATTTCAGTAATCGAGGAACTGAATTAAAATCCTTCTTTTAAGATTTGCTTCTTCTCTCTGAGTGCAAAGAGGCTGAGAGAGAGAGAGAGCCCAAGTAAGAAGGAGGAGCAAACTTACCATCCGAGGCAGAGGGGGAGTCATCCTCATTGTCCTCATCCTCCCACCGGGACTCAAAGTCTCCAGGACGAAGCAGCACTCGGTCTGACTTTGACGTAGGCAGGACGGACATGGACTGGGAAAGTGGCGTTTTCTGCAAATTCGACTTGGAAAACAGGGTCTTGATCTTCGATTTCTTTTTCTTGTCTTTGGAAGGAGACTCATCATCACTGTCAGCGGAGGGTGTCACACTGGGAATGATGGCTGAGGCGGTATCCGACGCGCTATCCTTATGCTTCCCCTTGATCTTGTCCTTCAGTTTCCCAAATGGATTCCGAGACTTGTCTTTCATGGAGAGGTCAAACATGCTAGCTGTCATGTTGTTTCTCATAAACTGGATGTCAACCTCAATTGCTCCTCGCTCTTTATCCTTCTTTCCGGGTTTGGATTTCAAGGTATACCACCTACAAGGAGAAAGGCTGAGAGGTTATCTTTAAATCGAAGAGCCTAAAACAACATTCAGCATCTCCATTAACCAGCTTTTCTTCTCTGTTACCACCAACCTCTCACATATACACATTCTTGGGCTTTCTTCTTTGGAATAGAGAGGGTGGGGTAGGGGAATGGGGGCAGAACTTGCAGTTTCGTTTTTGAGAAGACACCCACTAGGGAGAGACAAAATCTGATTCTGTACTTAATGTACAGTCACTTAAAATCTTGATTTAATAGCTATTTCTAACAATAAAATAAGTCAAACAAATATTCCATCCAGTCATTTCCTGTGACTGGTATTTTCCGCCAGCAGGGTAAAAATGCAAAGATCACACACAAACAGTTAAGAAGGCAGAATGCAAATTTACACATACATCTCAGGAAAAAAAAAAAAAAAAGCAAGCATTTATAGAACAGTCCCTGCTGGGGAATAATAGAAAATATAAGACAGAGAAAATTTTTTTTTCCAAAACAATGAACTACGCCAGTCACAAAATGACAAACATTGTGGGACACCTGTGTGGCTCTGTCAATTAAGCAGCTGCCTTCAGCTCAGGTCATGATCCCAGGGTCCTGGGATCGAGTTCTACATCAGACTCCCCGTCCAGTGGGGAGTCTGCTTCTCCCTCTGCCTGCTGCTTCCCCTGCCTGTGCTCTCTCTCTGACAAATAAATAAATAAAATCTTTAAAAACAAATGTCATTGTATGATTCTACTTATATGAGGTATCTACAGTAGTCTGATTCATAGAGTGGGAATGGTGGTTGACAGGGGCTGGGGGTAGCAGTGAATGGAGAATTAGTATTTAATGGGTATAGTTTCAGCTGGGGAGATGAAAAAGTTCTGGCCAGGGATGGTGGTGAGGGGTGGCATAACAATGTGAATGTACTTAATACCATAGAACTATACACTAAAAAAATGATGAAAATGGTAAATTTTGTGATGTATATTTTACCACCCTAAAAAAAATTAGAAACTGAAAGGAAGCATTCTTTCCTACCTTACTAATCCAAAAAAAGAATATTTCAAACATTATCAAGTATTTCAACTGGTTGTTTGCAAACTGCTTAAAGATATGGCCAATATTCTATCAGCCCAACTCTCCTGAAAGATGATGTCAGAAAAAGGAAATCTCCCCTGGGCATTTTCCATCTGGGGAACTGCAAGAACATGAGGCTGATGAGTAGCACGACCCCTACAGAACAGAAAAGTCTGAGTGCGTGCCCAATGAGAGCCATCCCTAGGATTACCGTCAGACCGAGAAACCACATTTGGATGTTCTGTGTCGTGACCTACTTAAGAGCTGAGGGCCAGGGACGTTAAGGAAATGATAGGTTTCCTCAAACAAGCAGTTTCCTCTTTCACCCTCAGCCAGTCTGCTCGCAGGGCGGATCGCTGCCCCACTAGCTCAGCTGATTACACACTGAAAGCAAAGGGGCAGAGCGAAGCAGACACCTAACACTTAAACAGCGCCTACAGCATACCCAGCGCTGTGCACGCTTAGGGACACCCTCATCCAAGTCTCACAAGACACTGAGGCTCACAAGTGCAGTGATTTGTCCAAGGTCTTGCAGCTGGTAAAGGGCATGGGCAGATTGAGTCAGTTCTGCCTTCTTCCAAAGCCCCTACTCTTACACCAAAATTCCTGCTTTGCACTCTCTTGACTCACCTCCCCTTTGCAACATACGAGAGGAGGGTTGAAACTTAAATTCTTTTTGAGGCAAGTTTAAGCTTCTCATTTAAGAGTCCTATCAGAAGAAAAAAAGAAGTGTTCTCGGAAGAAAGGGGGAAACCCGTCATGGTTGGCCACCCATCATAAATCATAAGATTACACAGAAAGTCCAGTGTGCAAAGTCATCAAGAAGAACTTAGACTGGATTTTTAAAAAACACAGCCAACATCGGAGAAGATGAGGTGAGCTATGATTCTGGACCTTTAGGGGGAAATCTTTTATGGTTTTTAAAACCACAGGCCACAGCTGGAGGTGGGGGACAGATGCAAGGTCTTTCTACACAGCGTCACCCCCCGCCAGTCTGGTGTCTTTCCAATCTATTTTCTAAGACTTAGCCTGGAAGCGATTGCATGTTTGTCATTTAGACACCAGAGAATCATTTGTATTTTCCTCTTCGGACAGTCACGTGGCTCAGTGGTCGCCCTGGTGATGAAGAGTGGCTAGCTTTTGTAAATTCGCATTGCAGGCACCTGGAAAGGGGAAGTTGCCGAAAGCTGACTGCAGAGCTCTGATGACCACACTAGCCGCAGGCAGTTTCACCTCTCCACCCTGGGGAAACAGTGGGTCAGGCCGCCTCCCCAAGCTCTTCCCTGCAACTCAGTCCCTTAGCCTCCCAGGGGATGCAGAGACAACCTTCAGAGCAGGCAGTCGTCAGCTCCTGGGACCAGCCTGCCTCTCCAAAAGTATCAGCGCCAGTCTGTTTGTTTTGAGTGACGCCACAACCAATTCTAGAATCCTCCCTGGGGGGCCTATTATTACCTGATGCATAGGTTCAGTCCTGGGCACTAAAGTGGGATTTATTTGGGGAACCTCTAAAACCACTAGGCGGTGAGAACAGATGCTTCATCAACTGTTCCTAAAATTTATTTTTACAGGCAAACCTAAAACCAAATACCAGGTAGCCAGGAAGGGGCACAGGCCTATTGAAGGATGTGAAAAGCAGACTGAAGCACAGGTAAGCATCCCATGCAAATGTTCAGAATTTTTCAAAAATCCGTGCCGGATTTATTAAAGCTGGAAAAGAAGACAGAAATTGTTTCTTCTAATAGTATTACCCTCGTCATTAAAAATTCAAACTGTTTAAGCAAGGGTTCTTTCGGCACATGCATAATTCAATGATAAATGAAAGCCATGATTCATGAATGGCTCACCCTAAGGAATCCCAAACCAGACACCTTTATGGGTTTTGACCTTCAAGCATCAATTTGATTCTAAGTGTTTCTATCCATTTGGTTTGTTGTCGTTGTTTTTGAGTTTTAATTTGCTTTTTTATTTTAGCTCACTTAATTCTACCACCTCATAGAAGTAGTTCATAAATAATGAAGTCCCAGCATAGCCACACAGCCTGTGATGGCAGAGTGGGTGTGTTCCAGCATTATCATTCATGAAGGCCCAGAAAGCTGGAATTATCTCAGAAATCAGGGCTGGGTTCATTTTCCTAGTCCAAAGGGCAGAGTACAGGAAGAAAACCATCATCCCAAGGTAGTGAGTTTGTTTTTAAGCCCATATTCTGGAAAAAGTCCTGCAACCAATCAAGAAAATCAAGCGGTCCCTTCTATAATCAAATAATTATTTTAACTTATAATTAAAAACCCAGTTCTTCAAAAATCAAAAGGATCTCTGAATACACAGAAAGTGACAGAAGACTTATATATAAACTATATTTTAAAATAATAATAAGCATGAAGTAAAAATTCAAATTATGCAAAACAGTACAGAATGAAAACTTCAATCTTCCTACCCCTCCACACCCCTCACTCAAGTGATGGTCCTGGGCATATATAGGCAAAAATGCCTATTATCCAAATAGGTTGCCCTGCTGTTTTAGAGTTTTTTGGGTTTAGGGTTGTTTTGGGGGTTTTGAGCTTTTTGGGGGGGCGTCAAACACAAGACAAGGCAATAGCTCAAAATATAGAAAAATTCAATTATGTCTTCTATCGCCTGGATCTGCATTGTCCAATCTCCTGGGCTTTTAGGCTTTTAAACAGTCATTTTGAGAAGAGCTAAAATTATCCAACTACGGCCAATCGACTCAGCCAGTCGGCTTCAGAGCGCACCGTTTCTCACTGTAGGGCTCAAATACAAGGAAAGCTGATCACAGGGGGCCTTCCATCGGAATGTGGCAGGGTGAAGGCAGCGCAGTTTTTGCTCTTGGGAAATGGAAAGTCTCACAGCAGTGCAGACTTTCGGGATTATACTCATAAGGGACTGGCTGGTATGTGTCAAAAATAATCTTTCTGCAGTTGAAGCAAACATGTTTTTCTTTTAAAACATTCCAGAGGGCAGACACGAACAGGGAAACGATGGCTTCAAAGATACAGTTCAAACATTTTTACATAGCAGGCACTGGAAATACAAAAGGGCCAGATTCTGCCCTAAAAAGCATACCATACCCTCAAGTGGGAGCAAGAGCTCAGGCTCACCAAACATCACAAGTGTTACACTGGAACCATTGCTGCCTTTTCTGACTTTGAAACCTGAGAAAATAATTAGACATGTGAAGATATGCCTGCTAAAGGGTAAAATTTCATCCCAAATAAGGACTCGCACACAATCAGGGTTCTCCGCAAAATTAAATCCTTTGTGAACCACCTACTTAGGGGCTCCAGTAAAATGAATACTGTATTACTGTATTAGACACAGGGGGCTCCGGAAAGGGAGGGGAAGAAAGACCACTAGCTCTACAAGTGACTTCAACATTTCATGTGTGTAAATTTCAAGGGCTCCTTGTCTGTGGGTCCAGTCAGGACCCCAGGGTCAGAGGTGGGCTACCCATTTCCCTCCCCGTGCATAATCTCTACCTGACTTGTAGCGTGAGTCACCTACGTGGTAACCAAGCATTGTGACACGGGATTATGGCCTCGGTGAGGGAAGAAGCAGGAAGAACAGAACAGCACCTGCTGTGGTGTTTGACACAAAGGACACTCAACCGTTCTCAGGTGAAGAATTTTTTCAAAGCAATTCATTAGTTGGCTCCACCAGGGAATCAAAATAAGGCTGAAAATCACGTGGGGTTAGCAGCTGAGAACATCTAAAAGGTGTTCTGGAAAGGGGTGAGTCCAGATGGGTGAAATGTCTTGAAACTTTGCTTGGTAAGCCTAGAAGCAATGCAGAGCAAACAGGGACGGAAACGTTTATGACCTATAAAACATGTGTGGTGTGTACCCTACAGAGGCTAAGTAGTTTAACAAGTTTTGTGATTGCCCCTCAGTAGCTGGTCATCATTGCCTAACTCAGAATA